ACAGCAAAAAAAAAAAAAAACCTTTTTTTTTAACTCGATCATATAACTATCTTTTCATGCTATCTGTTATTGATATTTCCCTTGACTTCCTGTCCAGTGGCAGTGGTCTTGAGTGCCACTTTACCTAAAATATGGTAAAACTGTTGATTTCTCAAGGCTGGTTACTATAAAACAGCCTTTCATCTGAGGGAATTCCTTTTTTACCCCAGAGGAACCCTTGAAAACAGGCATTGTCTATGCCTGTTTTGCAATTCTGATGTCTTGCCTCACATGTAACAGGTTCACTTACATTATGATAGTGTACAGGAGCCAGGGATGAGTCCTGGACAGGAGATATAATTCTCCACTATTTGGGTTTTGGTTCCTTTACAGGAGAGTTCAAGGGACATTTATAGTACTTAGGGGTTCTCACCCATGTAGGGTGAGGAGTTCAGGGGTAGACTGGTCAGAGAGGAGAGGACGGATTTGAGTCCTTTCTGGATTGGTAGGTCCTCATTTAGGACCCAGAATTTGGAGTCTTGGAGAGACTTTGGGTGGGAAAGAGCCTGCAAACCCTGATTACAGGGACATTGATTTCAAAAGGATTAACCCACCTGCAATGTAGGCAGGTCTTATCTCTACCAGAATTATGAACTGTTTTCCTTTACATTAGCTGATGAAAGCTATTTGTGTTTACCCATTTTGAGAGACCATTAAAGACTATTTACTTTTACAAGTGGCTGGCTGGTGATCTCAGGTCTTCCTTATTACTATAGGTACAGCCAGTGGTGTCCCGAGGCAGGTGCGTGGGGTGCCCGCCGCACCGGGTGACACCTACCGCACAGGGTGACACCGGACCCGCTCCACGAATAGGTATGTTGTAAAGCAAGCCATTGATCCCCGCAGGATGGATCGGATCTGTGGATTGGGGAGCATAATGGATCGGACTCCAATGCATTATGCTCAATCTGCAGATCCAAACCATCCTGCGGGGATCATCGGCATACAACCTATACGGAGTGACACCAGACCCGCTTCATGAGGTAAGTTGTAAAGAAAGCCGACAATCCCCGCAGGATGGATCGGATCTGCGGATTGGGGAGCATAATGGATCGGACTCCAATGCATTATGCTCAATCTGCAGATCCGAACCATCCTGCGGGGATCGTCGGCATACAACCTATATGGAGTGACACCAGACCCGCTCCATGAAAAGGTAAGTTGTAAAGAAAGCCGACAATCCCCGCAGGATGGATCGGATCTGCGGATTGGAGAGCATAATGGATCGGAGTCCGATCCATTATGCTCAATCCGCAGATCCGATCCATTCTGCGGGGATCATTGGAGGGGGTGTCACCAAGTGTTATCGCACCGGGTGACACCAACCCTAGGGACGCCCCTGGGTACAGCAAATCAAAGTATGAAACACCTTATATGATCACAACAATACGCACAGGAGTAATGTATATAAATAGTTTTACTTATAAAACATTTTTAGCAATTTGTAAAATAGAAAATATTGTACTCTTCAAAAAAAATTAACAAAAAAGTAAAAATACAGTGGCAACCTTAAGTTACAGAAAAATTTTATATTACATTTGTTTTTTACATTTAAAACATATTTACAACATATAAATAGAAGTCAACCTGGACTTCTGTTACTATAATCATGTTATGTGACAAGCAGCAGCATTATTTCTTCCTATAAAGTGTGGTAATAAGACGAATAATGTTAAAGGAGTATAAAAAGTATCCACTTTATCAGTGCAATGAATGATTTAGAATAATGCCCAGGTAGTGTCCTACCTATAATCCAAAAACATTGAAACCAAGTCATTGACGCTGCTAACATAAAAAGTTATTATTTTTCACTTGTGTTCCTTATCTGGCAGCTTTTGTTCTTTATTGGCTCGAGGTATCTTAACCCAAAACTTTTTGATAGAGTGGAGAGTTTAGAATCCCTGGTAGATTTTTATTGCTGTGTGTGTCCACTAGGAAGATTCATTATCTCTATTTGTCTTGGTCACTCAGGCTGAAAGTAAGGAAAAAATCCAGAATTTTGAGTCATCAGCAGAGCAGCAGTAGAGGAAAAATCTTCCAATGGAGATGCTTGTTCCAGTGAGAGCTGTCTAAGAGTAGAGTTTCCTCATATTGAAGAGATTTCCTTTAACTTTGGAGGATGGCTTGTGAAAGAAAATCTCTCCAATGGCCAGAAAAAAAAACAAGGGTTTTAATCATAATACTATTAAAATTTAAAAAAAATGTTTTTGCCTTTCCATATACTTTAAATCTGATAATACCATGGAAATACCACTTCTTGGTGAATATGGACTTTAAAGGTAACAAAAAAAGACATTTTAGAGAAAGCCATAATTAAGCTCACAAATAAGACCTACCTCCTAGCTCTGTTCTGCAGACTCAGTACTGCTACAGTCAGCCATTGCTGCCTATGGATCTAGCCTGTGAAGAATGACAAGACTATTTGTATTGCTCACAGCAAGTGTTCACCAGTATTTGAGTATGATAGAAGGGTGTGCGTACTGGGCAATCAGTTTCAGGCTCAACATTCTACTACAACTCCAGCATGCTAGACACAATAAAATGTCCTCAGCATGTCATACAAGCCATGGCTTTTGTAGATAGCTACACTGCAAGTTAAAATATATAGAAAGTCTAAGACGGCCATAGAAGGAATGAAATAGGTGGATCGATAGATCAACTTCAGTACAACCAGCCTGCCCAGAGGTGTATCGAAATTCGGCTGATTTCTGCTGCATCAACCAGATTTCAATCCATCTATGTGCAGGCTGGTTGTACTGAAGTCAGTCTATCAATCTTTCCTTCAACCAGTGGTCGAAGGAAAGAAAAGCGCATAATCTATGGCCAGCCTCAAAAGTACTATCCTTACCCACAGGAGAGAGGAACACATTCATTCATTATTGACCTAGTCAGTTCTTCTTTAAGACTCTTATAAAATCTACGTCTAATGAATGCAAATGTACAACAACCGAGTAGAATTCACCTTTTGTCATTCAGGAATAATTATAGTTATGCACAGAACATATTATTTACACAGTTTTAATGAATAAACCCCAACTTATTCATCAAAACAACATTCACTAACTGCTTTCCCACCACCCTATAGCAGAAATATTGCTACAGGGTGGCAGGGGCGCGCAAAATCATGTATATATATATACACGTGATTTTGCATTTCCGGGTAGGGGACATGCGTGTGCCGCGTGGGTGCCCTACCCGCGCTGCCATTGGCGGCCTCAGCTGTCGATCACTGGATCCCAGCCGGTGATTTCCTGCCGGGCACCCAGCAATCGCCAACGGGGTATCACCAACGGGGGAGAGGTCTGCATGTAAACAATACAGATCTCTCCCCTGTCAGCTCCTGCATATTGCTTTCTAGCTTTCTATTGCTCTGGCACACAGCCCACAGTTAACCCTTTGACCGCCCTAGATGTTAACCCTTTCCTGCCTAGTGTCATTAGTACAGTGTCAGTGCTGATCACTGTATTAGCACTGATCACTGTATTGGTGTCACTGGGGATGTCTGACAGTTAGTCAGTCATTGCCCCCCCCCCCCCCCCCCCCCCCAAGTGGTTAAATTAAATAGCCACCAGTTATCCCTTCTCTTTTGACCTGCTCTGCAAGGATGAAGGGCACAACCATACTGGCTGCTATGGGCAATATACACTGTTCGTTCAGAGCTATTACTACAAGAGACTTCTAGTTGCTAGACTCAGGCTGGCCATAGATGATTCTTCTTTCTTTTTTTTTTTAGTGGTTTGATTGAAAAAAAAAATGACCAGAATCCCCCATCTACACAAGCAAAGTAGATGGAGGAATCCCCCTGTTGTGCTATTGTATTCTGACAGTGGGGACTCCTCCGCTGTCAGAATACACTGAGCTGATTGGCTGCAACCGGCGATCAAATGGAAGTTTTACCAACAGTCTTGTTCGAAAGAAGTGGATTGTCAGTTTGACATCTGAATCAAAATTCGACTAGTCCCCACTGAACCGGCTGAATTTCGATCCATCTATGGGAAGTTTAATAGAGTTTAAGTTTGCATTCTACTATGCATTGGTGTAATCCATGAATGAGTTCTTTGTGATACTGGTGAACACAGGGTTGTCAATCTTAGCAGGTAACCTATAAAGTACCTGTCATCCTTCTACAATTTCTTCTGGCCTCTCCAATAGTTGAAAGAATGGAACTTACTCATCTACAGTACCTAGTAAACTGGGCAACTGGTTACTGTTATATTAAAGGAAAACTCCACTTTTGTTAAACAAATAGCATAGCATATTCAATTCCTATACAAGCCTAATTTTATGCTATGAAGAAGAATGACCTTTCCATTTCAAACCCTCCACCCTTTCTAAAACTGTCAAAAAATTCATATCAAAATGGCAACCTGATGGAGGTGCTCTGTACACCTTTGGGGTAAGGAAAGCCCCCCCACCCATGTCATTTACTGCTCGCAAAAGGGACGCAGGCAATGCAGGAATCAGTCTTGGAAGGGAATGGCCACACAAACAGCTATTTCTTCAAAACAGAAAAAGGTAGGAATCTGCAACAGAGTTTTTTTAAATCCTTACTACTCTTTTTTCCAACACAAATGAGTGAGGCCCTGACTTGTGTTCTAAACTAGTAGAAATGCACAGATGTATAAAGATATTTTTTTAAATCATGTACCATCATTTTTAGGGGATGGAAGTCTGAACTGTGTTGTACATGCATCAGTTCACTGACAAGTTTAGTTACTGTCCAGACTCTGAGGGGTTTATCTACTAAAGCTGGAGAGTGCAAAATCAGGCTCACTTCTACATGCAAACCAATCAGCTTCTGACCTCGGCTTGTTCAATTAAGCTTTGGCAATAAAACCTCAGCTACTCTGAAACTATAATGAGTATAGTCCGCCCCTTAGTGGTAGTCCAGACTCAAAGCAACACAAGCTGCAAGCAGTCTTTGTAATTCTGGAAGTGTAGTTAGCTGATTGCATCTAAATTCAGTTGGGGACCCATCTAAATTTATATCCCCCACCACTGGTCCTGATGGTAAAGGCATTTCCCTGGGGGAAGGCAAGGGTTCGGATAGTAGAGTGGTCTTTGATGGAGGTCCTGAAGGCGACATCTTCTTCTAAGTTAGTGTCACCTAAGTTCAGTGAGCTGTGACCTGTAGATGTCTTTAGGCCATGAAAGGCTCCGCACATTTTTATTCTTGAAGAATCCTCATCCAGGTAGTCCATGGGGTCACCAGATTGCAGCTTGGGTCGCTTGGTTTCAGTGTAGTCATGTCCCATCAGTGCAGCGTTGCATTTCTTTGAGATCTCCCGCAATATTTCATCCACTTGATTGCATTCCTGATCACTGCTCTGCTGGAAAAACTCCTCCAGGTTTCTTTTAACTGGTGGTCTTGTCAGGACAACATTAGAGGGGAGACTGGAAATGGTTCTAGACCGGTGACTCATTAGCTTCTGCAAAGCACAAAACATAATTGACTTTATTACAAGAAAAAATGTTCTAAGATTAGCCCAACTTCAGCCAAAATGTTTGAATTATTCTAGGGTGAAAAGGAATTTTTAATGTTGCCTGTGACACTACTGGGGATATTTCCCCTTACTTTTTATCCATGTGACACCACTGTGGATATTTCCCCCTTACTTTTTATCCTTGTGACATCAGGACAAGAAAGCAAGAGTATATGGGGGTCACCTACAGTGGATATAAAAAGTCTGCACACCCCTGTTAAAATGTCAGGATTTTATGATGTAAAAAAATTAGACAAAGATAAATAATTTCAGAACTTTTTCCACCTTTAATGTGACCTAAAAACTGTACAACTCAATTAAAAAAAAAAACTGAAATCTTTTAGGGGGGGGGGGAGTACACACACAAAAAACTAAAATAATGTGGCTGCATTAATGTGTTTACCCTCTTATAACTGGGGATGTAGCTGTGTTCAGAATTAAGCAATCACATTCAACATCATGTTAAATATGAGTCAATACACACCTGCCATCATTTAAAGAGCCTCTGATTAACCCCAAATAAAGTTCAGCTGTTCTAGTAGGTCTTTCCTGACATTTTCTTAGTCGCATCCTACAGCAAAAGCCATGGCCCACAGAGAGCTTCCAAAGCATCAGAGGGATCTCATTGTTAAAAGGTATCAGTCAGGAGAAGGGTACACAAGAATTTCCAAGGCATTAGATATACCCTGGAACACAGTGAAGACAGTCATCATGAAGTGGAGAAAATATGGCGCAACAGTGACATTACCAAGAACTGGACGTCCCTCCAAAATTGATGAAAAGATGAGAAGAAAACTGTTCTGTGAGGCTGTCAAGAGGCCTACAGCAACATTAAAGGAGCTGCAGAAATATCTGACAAGTACTGGCTGTGTGGTAGATGTGACAACAATCTCCTGTATTCTTCATATGTCTGGGCTATGGGGTAGAGTGGCGAGACTGAAGCATTTTCTTACGAAGAGAAACACCCAAGCCTGGCTAAATTTAGCAAAAACACATCTGAAGTCTCCCAAAAGCATGTGGGAAATGTGTTATGGTTTGTTGAAACCAAGGTTGACATTTTTGGCCATAATTCCAAAAGATATGTTTGGCACAAAAACAACACTGCACATCACCAAAAGAACACCATACCCACAGTGAAGCATGGTGGTGGCAGCATCATGCTTTAGGGCTGTTTTTCTTCAGCTCGACCTGGGGACTTAATCAAGGTAGAGGGAATTCTTTCAGCATGACAACGACCCAAAGCATACATCAAAATCAACAAAGGAATGGCTTCACCAGAAGAAGATTAAAGTTTTGAAATGGCCCAGTCAGAGCCCAGACCTGAATCAAATCGAAAATCTGTTGGGTGATCTAAAGAGGGCTGTGCACAGGAGATGCCTTCACAGTCTGATAGATTTGGAGTGTTTTTGCAAGGATGAGTGAGCAAATATTGCCAAGTCAAGATGTGCCATGTGGATAGACTCATACCCAAAAAAACTGAGTGCTGTGATAAAATCAAAAGGTGCTTCAACAAAGTATTAGTTTAAGGGGGTGCACACTTATGCAACCATATTATTTTAGTTTTTTATTTTTACTTCCCTCCACCTAAAAGATTTCAGTTTGTTTTTCAATTGAGTTGTACGGTTTATAGGTCACATTAAAGGTGGAAAAAGTTTTGAAATTATTTCTTTTAGTCTCATTTTTTTTACATCATGGAAACTTGACATTTTAACAGGGGTGTGTAGACTTTTTATATCCACTGTACATATAAGGTTATCAGAAATACAGATCTTATCATTTTTTTCTTACTAATATCATTGGCAGTGAACCCCTATTTACTAGCCAAGTGGCAACCCTACTAGTAAAGGAGGACCCCAGTCAATAAAACAGGAAGTGATGGAAAATTACACCAGTGGGGTCACAGCAATAGAAACCTAACAAAGGTTCTAACCCTTCCCTATTCTATCCAAAAAACCCCAAAATGCATTGAGCTCTGCTTTTACATTCAGGCAATATAATCAAACTATAAAACAAAAAGAATACAATATGAAGTAAAGGATGAACATGTCTACTCTCATGTAACTGTCTGCAAGAAGTAATGCTCGAGCGCCCTCTGCCGGCAGAGTCGGAAATTGCAGGTAACTTACATCTAGCACAGAAGCCAAGTGTTTCGTCTGATCAGCGAGTTCCTTCAGCTGAACGTTCTTCACTTTGAGTGAATCGATCTCATCCTGTTTCTCATTCAGTGTCACGTGCAGCTACAATGGGAAGAAGCAATTAGTGAGCAATGTGATCTGATTATATGATATATGTATAACAGATGTGATCAAGATGGGGCATACCTGATTGTTCTGTACCAAGGCGTCCCCCAGAGCTTTCTCATTGTGATCTGCCATATCCCTCCAGTACTGCTCTGTGCTGGGGAGAGGCTGCACGTTGATGGGCATGAGCTGGCATGGCTGAGGGTGAATAGAAGGTGCCAGGCACTGATCAAACACAGACACCTCACAGGGGGGTAGCTGGAAGTCTGCAGTGCCCAATTCACCCTGCATATGGGAAGACTGGTCTGTAAAGAAATGCCCACATCAGTCATAATGCAGGGGGTAGATAGAGAGAGAGACTTGGGAGAAAGACATCAAGTATCACCTTCAAAGCACAGTTATTAACACAAGATGACTAGACAGAGACATTAGAGAGAGATAAGAGGGATATACAAGATAGAGAGATATTAACATCTATCTTATCTAACGTCTTTTTTCCGTATAGAAAAAGAGGATAAACAGAATGGAAAGATATGAAGCACCAAACATCATTTTCAAAGTGTAAGTATTAATAATAGATAGATAAGAATAAGACAGATGATAGATAGATAGATAGATAGATAGATAGATAGATAGATAGATAGATAGATAGATAGATATATGATAGATAGATAGATAGATAGATAGATAGATAGATAGATAGATAGATAGATAGATAGATAGATAGATAGATAGATAGATAGATAGATAGATAGATAGATAGATAGATAGATAGATAGAGATAGATAGATAGATCAATATATGATAGATAGATAGATAGATAGATAAGAATAAGATAGATAGATAGATAGATAGATAGATCGATATCGATATAGATAGATAGATAGATGGATAGATAGATAAGAATAAGATAGATAGATAGATAGATAGATAGATAGATAGATATAGATAGATAGATAGATAGATAGATAGATAGATAGATAGATAGATAGATAGATAGATATAGATCGATCGATATATGATAGATAGATAGATAGATAGATAAGATAGATAGATAGATAGATAGATAGATAGATAGATAGATAGATAGATAGATAGATCAATATAAGATAGATGGATAGATAGATAGATAGATGATAGATAGATCAATATAGATAGATAGATAGATAGATAGATAGATAGATAGATAGATAGATAGATAGATAGATAGATAATAACAAGTGCTGCAAAGGAAAAAAAGACTCAAACTCAATCGCTATCAAAAGCATAATCATAAGTATCAATATTAGATAAATACATGGATGATTAGAAATACAAAAAAAAAATAATGTTTGCTCCGGATGTGTTTGCCCATGAAGGAAACGCTATAATACAATAAAGAAACTACTACAATACATTAAGAATACAGTATACTCTAATAAACCGAAAAATATACAATCAAGGAACTACTAAAATACAATGCAGAGTATACTATAGTACCATGACAGAATACTAGAATACAATGCAGAGTATACTATAGTACCATGACAGAATACTAGAATACAACAAAGAGTATACTATAGTACCATGACAGAAAATTAGAATACAATGAAGAGTATACTATAGTACCATGACATAATACTACAATGAAGAGTATACTATAGTACTGACAGAAAATTAGAATACAATGAAGAGTATACTATAGTACCATGACATAATACTACAATGAAGAGTATACTATAGTACCATGACATAATACTACAATGAAGAGTATACTATTGTTATTATTATTATACAGGATTTATATAGCGCCAATACTACTGTACAGGTCGGCTGTCAGGCGCAGCATTTCCCAGCAAAGGCAGGTTCCCCATGCACTGCATATGGCAGTTATCGCTCCCAGCACATGGCACGTAGCCTGCCATACAGGAGAGGGCACGCTGCGTCTTGTAGTCCCTCAGTCCCTCTAGAGCCTGCACTACATACAGATCAGCCAGACTCACCTGCGATGAAGTTGTCCACAGCATCCCTGAACTCCTGCAGGTCGAAGTCGGGTGTCCCTGGCATGCAGTGCGCCTGTAAGAGACAAGGACAGGTGAGAATCCAGGCAGTGCAGGAAGGGTGAAGGTAGCTGGCCCCCCAGGCAGCCTCATACCTGCTGCTCATAGCCATAGGCTGGGAAGGGGAAGTGGCACGCTTGCACTGCCATGGCCAGGCTCAGAGAGGGGTGTGCAGTGTGGATGGAGCAGGGTGTACTAGTACAGGTGGGGATCCCAGCAGCAGGTGTATAGGAGGAAGAACCAGCCTGGGCTGCCCCTATACATCCCAGACCTGCAGCTGATTGGAGGACATTGGGCCAATCAATAGCCTTAGTAAAGCCACATTCCTCAGAGTTCAATGACAGATTAACCCAGGCTGCCTCCTGGTGCAGTGTGCAGAGCCTAGGGCCAAACAGAGTGCCTGGTGGGTGGGGGGGGGGGGGGTATGGTATCTACACAATGTGAGATTAGGGAGCCTCCCATTAATTGTACTGTTACATGCTGTACAAAGAAATGATCACCAAGAGCCTATTCAGGACAGCCATTGTCCCTCTATTAGCTGGATTACCTGAGTACACTTTACACCTCTGCCCAGCCATCCTAACCATTATAAAGGAATAGTCACACTGGGATGAGTCACTGACTAACAAATTGGAGCAGTTATAGGCAGCCTGCTCTCTGCAGATGATGAGGCACTACAAGTGTCAGCATGCCTTGCCAGCAACTTGGGGTGGGGGCGGGGGGAAGACTAAATATAGTTGTTAGGATGATGACACATTTACAACTTCTTGCCTTATAATGACATCATGGAGCCGATTTACTAAAAGGCTGTTCAAGTTGCAAAGTGAATGTTAGTGAATAAGGTGAAGAGGTGCTGACTGTGAATACCCAACTCTACAGGAGCAAATAGAAGAAAAATGTTCATTGAGTATTATAGGTTGAAAACAGCTTCACCGTATTTACTAACAACCACTTTGGTAAGTAAACGGCCTCTTCTCATTTAGTAAAGCAACCCCATGAATATCTGTAAAGAGCCAATCCACCCAAAACTGGCATTGCAGATATGGATTGATGGTGAAAACATTGGATTGATGGTGAAAGTCACCCACCTGCTTCTGTTATGTTGGCAGGTAAAAAGCTCTCTGCAGTCAATATCCCAGGTCTATTTCCAATATTGATTACACCTCTAAAATATCAAATATTTCATTGGATGTGATCCTGCTATTACAATTGCTAGCAGTTAAATGCTAAGGCTGACCATGCACTATACAATCTGGTTGTACAACAACCTTTAGATCTACCAACAATTATGTAATGCAATGGCTGGAGCGATTGCATATAAATTGAATAGATTGTCTAAATTTGTGCTCATATTACCTAGTTTTAGTAGACTTAAAGAAGTTTGTACAATGAGATTGAATGGTGTGTGCCAATGGTGGCCATGCATAGTGCGATAAAACTGAATGGTCAATGTCCAAATTGGACATCGGTCAAGCTAGACAAAAATGGCATAGCTGAATGATGAGCAACAGCTTTGAGCAACCAAAGTCAATTGGCTATGGAGGAAAAGAAATCAATCATCCAGGGTCGATCAAGGTTTTTTGTTGTGCCCCTACATGCAGATAAATCATAAGTGATTCAGAAGGGAGCAGAAAAAAAGTGGCTTCAATTGACCCTTTACCTTCAATTCTGTTTGGTCAAAACCAATACATTTTGGTAGATTGGAATCGTTACTATTTGTTGCTCATCACTTGGCCATGACATTTTTGTTTCATTCAGTCAATGTCTGATTCGATCATTTATTTCAATCGAGCATTGATCATTTGGTTTTATCATCACACCATGTCTGGCCACCATTAGAGTAGCAATCATACTTATGTGGAGCATTATATTATCATTGGCATTGAATTGCTACTTATGTACCTCAGTCCATTTGTTCCAGATGTGTAGTCATCAATCATTCTATTTATTGATTATATCACTATCACTATTTATTTATTTCAGGTACTTATATAGCACCATCAATTTACGCAGCGCATTGTACATTCACATCAGTCCCTAACCCTCAAGGGGCGTGCAATCTAAGGTCCCTAACTTACATTCATATACACATACTAGGGCCAATTTAGACAGGATCCAATTATCCTACCAGCATGTCTTTGGAGTGTGGGAGGAAACCAGAGTATCTGGAGGAAACCCACAGAGGCACAGGGAGAACATGCAAACTCCAGGCAGGTGGTGCCATGGTTGGGATTCAAACCAACAACCCTAATATTGTCAGGCAGAAGTGCTAACCATTTATCCACTGTGCTGCCCATATGCTCCTCCTGTCCTAGATGTTTTCCTCTAATTCCATTACCTGATCAGATCATGAATACAGAAGTTTTGGATAAAGCAGGTGGTGGGTTGTCTTCCTTGTAGAAAGTACATGTCCTTGTCCCAGGAGGTGACTGTTAGTAGCAGTGTGTATAAACTGTCACACATAGCACTGCCCTGTCTAGGAGTGGACTTGGCACTCAGCTTGTAATCTAACTGAATTCTCACCTTAATCCAACTCCAAACATACTGGAAGTGGCAAGCATTATGCAACCCTATGGCAGGAGTGCCAAGGTCTATATATAGAGAAGGACAGTGTACAGTGTACTGGCTACATCAGGCTGGGAGAGGGCAGTGGATAATGGCAAGGATTGCAAAACCCACACAACAGCTGCCAAGCCATTTTTCGGGCCAGTCATTGTACTTGGAGCAGATCACTGGCACTGATTTACATTGAAAGTTTTCTCTATAATGTGACACACAATCAACGTTTACACTAACAGGGGGCAGGGCAAGCTATGTGTTTGCTGTGCATTGGATGACAGATCTGTTTTTTTGTTTTTTTTTTTGCTTAAAAGGAACCTGTCCTGAAACCTGGCCTCAAACAGAAGCTGCTCCCAGCTTACTGTCTCCCAAGCAGTGTAACTGGTGTCAAATCCTCAGAATTTTGAGAGGTCCTGGCCTGGAAATCAGAATATGACAACTTTCATCTAAGACAGTGATCTCCTGGGGGCCAGATGAGGCCCTTTGCTTGCTTTTATCCAGCCCTTGGGACACTATTTCATCCACTGATACCAATCAACAATGGGGCATAATTCCCCCCATTGAAACCAATGAAGGGACACAATTCCACCCTATGACACAAATGATGGGGCACAATTTGTCCCAATGGCACCAATGGTGGGGCACAATTCCTCCCAATGACATCAACAATGGGGCAAATTACACCAAAGATGGGGTTTTGTATTTTCCAACTGACATTGGGACTTTTTCTACTCTCAATGACTGCAATTCATCCCCCCTAAAGTCCAAAGGAAAGTAAACTGGCCCTTTGTTTAGAAAGTTTGGTCTAAGACTATATACTTGTTTATTCTGCATTGAGAATGATTCCAAGATGGACAGAGTGAAGTGGGCAGTCATGTTCAAGGAACCCCTCAAGGGCGGTAAGGGCGTGCCCGACATCGCCACCCAGCTGAGGGTGTTCTTTGCTTGCAACTGCATCCGCAGAACTTTGCCCAGACGGATTATGGACTCTGGCGGGAACGCAATGTCTCGCTTCTTCCTGTTGCCTCTCTGGAGGTCCCTGGGGTGGGACACTTGGGATAGTTCCATCCCCTACAACTGGGACACTCCTTGGTTACTACTTGGATACCTTCAAGTTCATCAGGGAGCAAGGGCTGCAGGGAGTCAAGCCGGACTTGTGGAAGCCAAAGACTATCTACAAGCTCATCCGAGCCAGCGACATTTTGGAGTCGGTTCCAGGCCTGCCTTCAGACACCTGCAAGGTGGTCTGGAGGAATGTTTCTTCCAACATTCTTACCAACAGGCACAAAGACCTGGCATGGATGGCAATCCAAGGGGGGTTGCCTCTCAGGACATTTATGCATGCCAGGAACCTGAGCAGATACAGACACTGCCCCTTCTGCATCATCCACGAGGAAACGTCTCACCACGTTTTCTGGGAGTGCTCATTTGCTCAGGCCCTGTTGGGGGCCCTGGAACCTGAACTCAAGGACTTTGTACCACAGACAGCCATCACTCACTTTGGGGTGTTGAATGGACTGTTCTGTGGAACCTTTTCTCTGGAGGACATTGACGGCGCCTGGCGGGTGCTGTGTTGCTTTAAGGACGCTTTATGGTGCGCCAGAAAGCGCCTCATCCACCAGCGGGAGAGGATGTCCATTGAGGACTGCCGCAGACTGATCCACAGTCTGCTCAGAGACTATTCCTTGATGGACTTTAAGGAGGAAGAGGACGTCTGAAGATTTCCCCCTTCCCCCTACTCCCACTTGCGTGTCTTTGTCTTTTCAATAAAGCTTCGGGCCTGTGTTTCCCCCTTTCTTCCCTTCCCCCCCCCCCACACACCCGATGCCTATTGTAAACTGTGATTTTCGGTTTTTCGCTTTTTCGCTTTCGTTTATTGCATGACTTAGTACTGTGTATCAGGATGCTATGGTTTTTGGGGTAAGCGGCGTCATGCATGACGTGGCGGTCTGGGGATTCATCCTCTGCACATCACATCAGGCATCATACCGCTGAGCGAATGTATTTATTTCTGAATGTATTTATTGTATGCTTGGAACTGTATTGCTATGTGGTGCGCTGCGTCGCAGTACAGGGTGAGATGTACCCCGATTACACGTATCATGTTGTTTTTGATGCTTCTGTAATAAAAGTATCTTTTCAATCAAAAAAATTGAGAATGATTCCTATTTAGCAATTGTTTGATTAATTGTTTTTTAAAGCACTTACAGTTGTGGCCAAAATTATTCAACCCCCAATGCTGTAAAGGGGTTTAGGGACTATAGTGTACATTTGGAATTGTATTCAGAATCAAATCCTACAAGGACGTTGTAACTACCCAAATGCAACTAAAATGACATCAATTGTTTATGTAATACAGTAGTAAATGGTTCTTATGTGGTTTCTTCATTGCCACAATTATTCAACCCCTTAAAGACTACCACTCTGAAGAACAGAGGTTCATACAGGTGCTTTCCA